TTCTTTCTAAACATATTTACATATGAAAAGCAAGCTATAACAAAGAAACATTATCTGAATCAGCTTTGATTTGGAGAGTTTTTAAAATTAGACTGATGGAAACTAATCTGTTTCCACTAAAAACTCATTTTTATCAAAATGTGATAAGCAATATTCAAATTAAATTTAAAGTTGTTTTTTTGTTTTTTCATTATACACATTTTAATAGTATTGATATCCAATAGTTATTTTCATGATTTATTAGAAGAAATAAAACTTTGAAAAACCCAAGTCAACATCTTGTGGAATAACTTACAAATAAAATGAGAAAAATAGAAATGCACAAATAAACTTTGATATATTATAAACATGAGAATGCAAGAAACAAACTGATAACTAAGAGATTAGTGTTTGAGCAATCAGAGACGTTTAAAAAAAGATAATATCCAGGTGATTGAAAGAATATTGTTAGGCATAAATTAGATGCCAACACTTAAGCACTTTTATATTCATTTAAAAAGCAAAGAAATCAATAAAATTATATTTGAGAAAATAAAAGAAATTCATTTTTCATTACTGTCAGAAAATGAATTTGTTTTCAATCATATAAACAAACATTTTGATTAATGTAATTCCTTAGTTTTTGTTATTTATTACATAACCTACAAAACTCCAGAGTTTACTTTGATGTGTGAGTATAACTTCAATGGAAAAAATAGAATAAATGCAATATTCATTTAGAAAACCTATCTTAGAAAGCCACAGTGCATCAACATTGGCCTAGATGAAAAATTATTAAAGCTTATATTAAAAAAAATATATAACACACACACACATGCATGCATGCACACAATCAAACAAATGCAAGCACAAATACATGCAAAGATTTATACAAGAATTAAATGAGGATAGGAGAACTATACAAGTTCATTTTATAAATTTTGGTTTTACTTAATTAAAAGAGCAAAACTGTATTTGCTCTCATGAAAGAATCAATACTTATAAGTTATTAACATTTTTTCTTGCACATTGCCCGAATATAAACAGAAAAATTAAATAAGATACAAATTTACTCCAGGAAAAAAAAGTGGTAGAAATAGGAATTCTTGACTGAAAATGAAAATCTTCAACAAAAACGAAAATATTAAAATATGAACAAAATATTTCCTTTAGAAACAGAACTGACTTCATTAGAAAATTTTATTTACTGGCTTTAAAAAGAAATTTAACTAAATAAATCTACATATATTTACAAAAAACCCCCAAAACAGAAACTGAGGGAAAACAACTGAACTGTTTAAATAGGCACAAAAATGCAAATACAAAAATTAGGATAAAGAGATAAGAAAAATGGAATTATTTGCTTTGAATCAATATTATACAGCAATTTAATTTTATAAAACCTAAATAAAATATAGGTATATTAGCAGTTTTTTTTTTTACCTTCAATTTTGACAGTCCAAACATAATGGAACATAACAGGTGATATTAAAAATTAATATTTTATATCTTCAAGTTTAATAATTGCAATCATTTACAAGTAAATGTTGAAATCTAATTAATCTGGATCAACATTACAAACAGCAAACCTTTATATAAAAAAGCTTTTTTGCAGCAGATTTGTGCTTCAGCAGTATCCAAAGAAAAATATTCATGTTTGCTAACTTTTCCTACTGAAATCATTAGTTTTATTTTAAATTGCATATCAGTCAAGAATAGGAAAGCAAAATATTTTTTAAATGTTTTAGTTTGCTATTATTTGACTCATGTATCAAAATGAAAAAAAAAATACAAATTAATATAGTGTGCTGAAAGAGTTTGTATGACATTTGGGGCTAAGTACCTGAGTAGATTTTGACAAAATGCTCCAGTAACTGAATTCTTGTAGCTGTATTAAGTTACAGTCAGCGCCGTCTGTCTAACTCTCTGCATTAGCAGGGAGGAACCCAGACAAAGCTTTGCCGAAGGGCAAGGTTTCGTTCGGGGAGATTGACAGGTCTCGAGCCCACCTAGATGGGTTCGAAGGCTATATTTTTGGCCGAGCCTACTTGGCCTTGTGCCACATGCAATCCCATGTGGGGGGATAGCTAAATATTGTAACTGAATTCTTTTATTTATATTTCAGTTTTGTGTAATTATTTCTATCACAATGAAAAGACTAATTACAAAAAGGGAAGGTATTCATTTTTTAATTTTTAATGCTCATTAACTGAAATTTAAGTTTACATTTATGTTGATTTGTTTAGAAATAAAGTTATTCAGTATTTTTCTTTCTTCAAATTTCATATATCTTTCATTTTCTTGAAATATTCTCTCAAAATAAAAAATAAAACCACACAATTTTATGTGTATATAAAATATTTGAAATTGCAAGTGTTTTATCATTATTATCAATATGCTTTTAATTTGAAGGATGAATTGGCAATAGTTTTCAACAAAAAAGTTTGATTTTAAAGAGTTTGCAAACATTTTAGCTAATTTAATTTTTTGCATAAAAAGGAAAAGTTAAAAAAAAACAGAATGAATGCATCAATTTCATTTGTTCTTACAGCCATCAATTTAAAAAAAAATTTAAGTGAATTATTTATATATATATATATATATATATATATATATATATATATATATATATATATATATATATATATAAAAGCAATTCTACAATGGTATTTACAGTCACCCAGCTCAGTTAATTATAGACAGGAACTGGTGCATTTTAGGCTAATAGAGAAAAGGTTAAGAGAACAAGTGACTTTTCAGCAGAATTAAATCAAATAGAGTTCATGAATATTTTGAATTCTGCTCTTCTTCCAATCAGAAATAATTTTTTAATCTTTTGCCAAAGTATTTTTTTTAATTTCCATATGCATATGAATATATCTACAATACTAGTGAGGCTTTTAGAAAAAGATGTTTTAGGATTGACATGAATAATTCAAATTCAGCAGTAACATAAAATGAAGGCCATTATATTTCTGAATTAAAAACAGCTACAACAGAAATGTGATAATGCCAACAAAAATACAAAATCATTTGAGATGTTTAATAATGAATTAGAAAAATAAAAAGGTTTAATTAATAATCTATGAAAAATAAAGAATTATGAGATTAAACTATAAATCAGTTCTAAAGTGGTTATTTTTAGATACCAGCAAAGGAATTATATAACAAAACTTGGGCAATATCTTAAATCAACAAATGCTAAAAATTTTAAATACTGTGAACCAGCAATAGTATTTGTATTTTGAACTCAGCAGCAATTACAAATATTTATAACATTTACTGAGATGTAAACATGAGGAACCAACTAAATCGAAATAAAACAAAGCAATAAAAAGGATTTTCACTTCTACCTAAATTTATTCAGTGTAAGGATAATTTGAACTGATTAAATCGAATTTCAGTGTTTTTCAATTTTTTTCAGTGCATAACATGTGCAGAACTTGCAAATGTGATCAGTGATACAGAGTTATATGTTAAAGAGTTGAAATATTTGGAAGCAGATTACATTTAAAATCTAAAAGATTTCTTAAAGAATTGGATGGATAGACAGACTCTTTTTGAGAGTGGGACTTAATGAACAATAAAAATGCCCAAATTATGCCAGATATCTTATTTGCTCATGTGGGTTAAAAAACACTTTATATAAACCCTATGTTTCTTATCTATATACAGTTTGTAATGTAAATGTGCGTATATTTTGTGCTTGTAGCACAGAACTTTCAATGAGTATTGGTATAATATTTACATTTTTAAAAAGATGGATATAATGAGTTAATCAAAATGTTTTTAAAGAAAGATCAGTTTAATAAAAAAGTGATCAATAAATATTTTCATAGTTTAATCAGTACTTCTACTTCATACAGATAAAAGAAATTCATAGCATTAAACTCTCCACATGTACACCTTCATACCAATTCATGTAAATCTAATAAAGTCTATATCTCTGAAGAAATTTCATGAGAAAAATTTCTTTCTAGAAAGAGATAAACATTGCACCACAAAATTTGGATAAACAAACCTTAAATGCAAGCAAATTTTACATGTAAATATTATTTTAATGTGGTCAAGTTAAAGATGCTTGCAAATTTCACAGTGGACGGTAGGAAGAGACATGGATATGCTTGAGAGAAATCAATCAGCTGGAAACAAAGTCAGAAAGAAATAAGGCCACTTAGAGTAAAACAAATAGAATACAGGTGAAACTGAGCAAGTTTAGATCAAATAAATGGTTTGATTAGTCCTCAGTTCACAACAGAATATTTACTCATAGGCTCAGTGTAGCATGTAGAATAAGTACCTGCAATAGTACAAGCTTAATCATTATTGATGAATGTTAACAACAATGAAAAATTAAATTGTTGGCTGAGAGTAAAATAAAATGGTTACTTGACATGGTATGAGAATGAATAATGGCAAAAAGTCATTTGCTGAATTTAAGAAAGTAGATATTACTTCTCAGCTTTTGGTAGTATTTTGAAGCTATATGGAAAATACTAGAAAGAATCCAGGTTTTACATTTGTTAAAAATATTATTGACAAGTATTTTTTTTCTTACTCACTTTAACGAAATTTTTTCTCCTTTTGCCTATTCCCCAGCAGCTACCACCATATGTAGAGACATCAAATGATTTGGTTACATATGAATTGGATAAAGAATACAAGAGGAGGCTACTCTGGAGCTGAGTGGTTGCTGTTAACAGAAACTAATCAAAGTAAAAAGAGAGGAGATGAAGAAAAAGAAAAAAAAAAAACACATGCATCATTTTCATCCTTCTTTTCAATTTTCATTTTAGAATAATCTACATATTGATTGGATTTTCTTTTACAATTTAGACTATATAATACTTTAGAAATGCTCAGTAGAAATGTCATTCATTTTTGAAAAAATATCTTTATTTCATTTCAGCTTTATAAATGAAATTATAAACTGAATTTGTAAGCTGACAGAAATACAAACTGTGCAACCAGAGATAGGGGGGGGGGATTTGGAAATAGGAAACTGCTGCCTTATAATGTGGTTAGTCACTCTCGCTCTCACTATCAACTTCAAGCCATTTAGATTCTAATAGTCCTTGGTGAACAGCATACTCAATCAGTGCTAAATGGCAAAAAACATACTGATCAGGCACCTGGATACTGAATGCCCTCTGAGATCGGATTTTACGAACTGTCTCATATAATTCTACTGTACTGACATCTTCAAATCTTCGAATATTGATGTCAGTTGTGATGAATGTACCTGAAAATAAAACACATAACTTACAATTACACATAAAACCACATATTTATTAATCTAAGTATATTTCTTCCTTAAAATAAAAGATAATTCTTGATGGTCTAGACAATTACTGATAAGTTTTAAGTCATGATGAGATATAAAATTTTGAAACAATGTCTTCCTTTTTTTCTTTACTCAATTTATGTTCCAATCAGTTATTTCAAGTGAGTTTCACATATGGTAATTATTTGAAAATAACTGATTTTTTTTAGTTCTTTCTAAAGATCATTTTGTAGGGAAAAATAAACTAAGGTAATATGATCTGAGTTTTTCTTTACTTTTAATGAAATAGAAAATTTTATAAATTAAATTACACATTTTAATATGAACAAATAAAAATATATTTGGTATTCATAAAATTTACATTACCAGAGGACAATGAAAAGTTCTTTGTCAGACTAAGGTATTTAAAAAAAAAATCTTAGGTTTGATCAGATTTTGGAATATGGGTTAGGCCAAGAATTTTCAGCATTCCCTGTATTTGTTAAACGATATATTTTACAATGTACCTACTCTGTGAATATTTTACTTCTAAAACTAAAACTTTAATGGAATTTTTGATTGAGCAATAAAAACTGAAATATTTCTACTTGTAATAATAAAATAGAAAAGGTGTATAAAAAAGAATTAGCAACCAAAATGAAATTTATATACATAAAAGAAAATGTTTTACAATTAATAGAGTTACACATATATACTTACAGTTCTTGTAGAGAGAAAAAAATTTTTAAATCCAATTAAAATGAATATTAATTAATCATTCTAACTGAAGAAATCGTGAAAGTAAAATAAGTAAAAAAAATTGTGGATAAGTTGTACTCCAAAATGACTTGAAATTTGGAAAATACATTGACCAAAATGAGAATACTTGTGTGAATAAAGCAGAGAATAAACAAAGGGTTAAGATTTTTTAATTGTTTTTACATCAGTCATTAGATAGGATCCTTTCCAGTCTTGAAACAACCATATCCTTTTATTAATTGAATCTGTAAAACATAACCAAGTGTCAACAGTGGGAACGACCATCTTCCTGAGATATGTAACCTCAAAATAAAACTACAGAAATTAAAGAAAGCTAAAGCAGTACATAAATTGCAAAACTCCTGTATGACCCGAAATGCAAACAGATGTATACTGTGTTAAAAGCAAATACAATGAACTAAATGAGAATGGAAATTCAAATTCTAAGAGAAGCTTGAGTGACATCAGCAAACAAGATTATCTTAAGAAAAACTATAAAAGGAAAAAAAGGAGTAGATGACAAATGAAATTTTCAACATGATGAAAAGAAGATGGCAAACAATGCCAAAGCATGGTATAGAAAAATAGAACATTACAAAAGAAATTAGAAACAAATGAAGGCAGATAAAAGAGGATTGGCTCAATGAAAAGTGTGCATAAACAAAGAATGAGAGCATCACAGACAAGGCAGATATGCATAAAAGATCAAGAGAAATAACAGAAAAAAAAAGATGTGCTCATTGACAAAATGCAAAGAATCAAAAGATGGAATGCTGATAATAGAAAAAATATTCAAAGATGAAAAGAATACTTTGAAGAACTTTTACAAAAGAGAGAAACCTGCAATACACAAAAATATAGAAGGACCACAAATTTTAGTCTGAAGAGACATTATCACTGTCCAGGCTGAACATGAACAAAGAAGCAGGACCATATGGGATTGTAATAAAGATGCTAGCAACCGTAGATGATTTTGGCGTTAACAAAATTATAGAAATAAATGAAATGTACAACTGTACTGACATTTCAGAAGACCATAGCAGATTCATTTTCATTGCACTGCCTAAGAATCCAGGTGCAAATGAATCTGAGCTTCATTGGATAATCAACCTAATCAGTCATAAGAAAATTCTGATACATAAAACGCATAGCAAAATTAAACTGAAAATAGGAAAAGAACAATGTGATTTTGTTAAAGACACTAGAACAAGGAATGTAACATTTATGCTCAAAATGATATTAGAAATAGCAATACAAATGTAGAAGGATGTATATTTATGTTTTATGGACTATGCAAACGCATTTGATAAGGTACAGTATGAAGACCTATTTAAACTTCTAGGAAAACTTGATTTATTTGGGAAAGATATTAGAATAAAGAAAACATACAGATAGAAAATGAACCATTAAATACATAAAAATACAAAGGAACATGTGATAAGGATGTGTCTTCTGACTGAACTTTTTAGCAAAGCTAAGAGAACTGCAAGTTTTACCAGGATTTAATATTAGTGAGACACAATGTTAACAATGTAAGTTATGCAGATGACACCCACTGGTGGTTGCGGTCGCAGCGCCAATATGTGACGTCCTCTGGTCACGACGCCAACATGTGACACTGTGATGTCAGCCCATGGTCAACTCCCAGTTGCTGTGCAAAGCTGTAAGGTTTCTTCCACCAGCGTTTTGGGGTTGACTCTTTGTCGCTGCCATCAGCCTGTGTCCCGGTCATTCTGGTCATTCCTGGTTTGATACCAGCTTTGTTGTTCCCAGCTCACTTCCAACGTCTGGTTACCGAAGTAACTACTTTGATCTCAAGTCTAACCTACCCATGTTGCGACTTTGATCTTAGGTAAACGGGCTGAATCCGGGGTAAAGGTGATATCGCACAAGCATAAGTAAAAGAAACAATAAAACAAAACTTAAGAGGTTCAAATATGTTGAGAAATAACAAATTATCTTTATCCATCTGTTGAATACAGGAGCGTGTTTCTCTCCCAGCCCGTTTCTATGGATTTGTGACACTTGCATTTCTTAAGCGAGTTTTGGTATCTTAAGTCATTCATCAATATAACTTGCTTTTAGTAGGAAGGCTAAGTCAGAAGGATGTTGAATTTCTCGGTCAGCTTCTGCGAGGCAACGGCCTGACTGCAACTGCAAATCAACTGCTGGAACTCTGTGCTCCAAACTGATCAGCTGCCTCGAGACGTTCGTTTATCTGGATACCAACCAAAACCCGGTGTGGGGGCCTGATGTGGCTTGTGTTCCCAATAATTCTTGATTCCCAGCAAGAATTCTCTTTGTTCTTAAGCCAGGAAAATTAATTTCTTCCCATTTTTGGAAGATTAATTACTTTCCATTTCGGGAGTTTCTCCCTCGTCCGTGAGGGAAGGTCCGAGGAGAGTTATCCTCCTAGACTCTTCCTCTCTCACATTGGTATCTTATACCAATCCCCTCAGTGGGTGTTAACAACTTCTCTGTCTTTCTCATACATTCAATTCCGCCTATCACCCATGCTACCACTTGACCAATGATCTCTCAGCAGTGTGGGTGTGGCTAGACTGGCCCTCTTAAAATTATTATCCAGAATTTTATTTACAAAATCCTTTTTTTCTTTTTTTTTTTCTTTTCCTTCGGCCAAAACGTTTACGAATCCCAGATTGCCAAATAATCCTTATCACATCATTCTTTCGGGGACACCCAAAATTCACTTAGCCGGGTGTCTCTACCGACTCATCAATTACTGTCAAAACCAGACACCTGGTTTCTTCTGCTAAATCAACTTTTAGCTGGGAGGTCTGTATTTTACCTGAGAATCAAATTCTTTATTTTTCTCATGCCTTAAAATCCTCTTATCACCAAATGCCCATTTTTGACATCAACAGTTTGAATAAGCAATAATAATACGATTTTCTTCCTCATGTCAGAATTCTAACACACACCAAATGGCTCCCTTCATTGGACCCAGGAATTAAAATTAAATGATATCTCTGAAAGATAACTAATATCTATTCTCCGTGGTGGTCTCAAGCCGAAATTTTTTTTATGGCCGAATTCTGTTTCCCTTGGTGTGTCACTACCTTAACGCGACATTAATCAGTTTTGGCAGAATCTCATATCTCACTTTTTCTTACGGATTTTCTGTCTCGTGCAAAAAGTATCTTTCTGCATAAATAAAATAAAATCTTTTTTAACATCGATCAGTCTATCTTTCGCTTTAAGTCTTTCCTGTTTTTAATTTCTATGGTTAATTAGTTAGCCAATTACCATAGCTAAATAGTGTCACACTATACACAGTAAACTGCAAGAACTCGTACAGAAGGTAGTATAGAAAAGCAAGAAGAAAGGATTAAACAATTGTAAGAAGATATGTGTGGTTAGCAGTAAAAGGAATAGCCCAAAATATAAACTATGAATAGGTGATGTCAAAAACAAGCAACTAGGTAAATTAAATATAAGGGAAATGTTCTAACAGAGGACAGAAAATATGACTCCGAAATCTGAAGATACATTGGAACAGTGAAAGAAGCCTTCCAAAAAGCTAAATAAAGTATTTAGAAACAGGAAAATTCCATTTGAAACAACAAGAAAAGTGAATGATAGTGAATGTTGGACAATTTCCTCACAGATGAAGAAGAGACTTGAGACAATAGAAATATGGTTCTACTAAATTATGCTGAGGATCCTATGAATTGACATGTGAGTAACAAGGAAATTTTAAGTAAAACAAAAAAAGGACACTTATAATTGAAATTTCTAAGAAAAGTAGAAGAAAGTAGACTTGGAGGACATATTGAAGGCAGGAGTGACTGAGAAAAGTGAGTAACCTACCTAATGAATGTCAATGGATGGTAGAATAGGGATTGGGAGAGATAATAAAAAGAAACCTTACAAAGGATAGAAGTTGTGGAGAACCATGATATTCCTGAAGGGAAACATCACACAGAAGAAGAAATGATTAGAAACTCACCTGTCCGTCCAATACCTGCACTACAATGCACAACAATTGGTGGTCCAAGAGGATGTCCCTGCCATGAATCTTCCATATTGTGCACAGCTTCAGCTTGAAAATTTTGAACCTTTAGCAAAAACTGGAGGAAGGACTCTGCCTTGTTGGGAACACCATAATCTGGCCATCGGAGAAACTGCATATGCTGAACAATTCGTTCTTCACCAGTCTAACAGAAAAAATATAAGAAAAATTATTCAAAGAAAGGATTCAATTTTAATTAAACAAAATACTAAAATGTAAATATTTTTTCCCTAACATAATTTAGACTATTATTTCTTTTAAACATAGTTTGTTGTTTTATTTTATTGTTTTTATACATAATTTTTACTATTGTTAATTTGTTTCATGAGAATTTATTTTCTTTCCAGCAAAAAAAAAAAAAAAAAAAAAAAAAATAATGGCTGAAAATTTTCAGATTTATCCTAGAACTTTAAGCAACTATTTTTAAGTAAATGAATATTACCATTTAACTCAAGAGGATGTTCTGAATACAGTACCAACAGTTGAATTTATTAAATACTATGGCTTTTCCTCATGCCTTTTCTAGATCAATAATTCTAAAATTAACAAACTTTTCCCTGATTCTAGTATTGATTTTGAGAGTGATATGAGAGACAAATCATAATTTTACCTGAAAGATGTGGTCTCGCAGCAGGATCAAAAGAGGATTTTTTAAAATTCTCTCTCTCTCTCTCATATATATATATATATATATATATATATATATATATATATATATATTAGTTGTAGAGTGGATAAATGAAACAACCAAATATGTGTATGTGTGTGCGTGCATACACAGACAAACAAACAAATAAATAATTGTTAAATTTAGGCATGAGGTGTAAACATAATAGTGCACAATTCCCAGTTCGGCATGCCAAAAACGTAGGCATGCATATATGTACTAATACATATATATATATATACATACATATATCAGAAACACTGACCTTCTTGGAACCATATTACTGCTGAGATGGCTTCATCAGGCAACAAGACATTGCTTTGTCTCACAACCGACCTAGTAAATATACTTGTACTGATAGAGGGAGGAGGAGGGAAAAGAAAAAGAGAGAGAGGGAGGGAGGCTGTTTGTGTAAGTATTCCTATCTGGATCATGATTGGCCAGTAGGAACTTTTTTGCATGCTTGCAAGCTACCATTACTTTTGATCTTTTATTAAGCATTTTGCTTTGCTGGAGGGATATTTTATAATGGCTAATTTTAAAAAAAAGGAAAGCCTGCACGATTAATATCCAAATGTTATATGTGATTTTTTTTCAATATAGCCCATTTGATACTGAGGTTTTATTATTTCCTGTATGCCCCATACAAAACTGCCAGTTTAAAAGATGATCTGTGATTGTACAACCTTTTCTTAAAACTGCCCTCTGTGGACCCAATATATATTTTTTCCTCAAGGCCCTTTCATTCTTTACCTTGGTTCTATACACCACTCCCTCCACTTTGCAGTTACCACTTAACAGATATTCAGTTTTATTTTGGCAATTGCAGCATTCAATTTTAGGTTTATAGAAAAGCTACCTAACAAGGATGTGACACTATTAAGAAGGCATTGGTAAATTGGGAAAAAGGCTTTCAAAATAAACTAGAAAAAAGAAAGAAAAATGCTATTCTTTTGATAGACTTGTTCTATTTTTTTGATGTAAAAACCAAAAGAATGAAATATTTTTATATTTGTTTTCTTTTCTCCCCACCCTAGAGTTCAAATGCTGACAACAGCTAAGCATAGAAACCCATCTGTTTTTAGGCATTGGATAAAGTCAATGTTGACATGACATTTTAGATTTTTTTTTTTTGTTACAAAAAAATAGATTTTTTTTTTAACGACTTCAAAGTTGCCGATAAGGGAAGAATTTAAAGTATTTTTACATTTTGTTGAATGAAGTGGGTAATGGAAGGTCCACATGACAGCTAAAAATGAGTCTCTAGATCAACCCAGCGGAAAGACAGGAATGAAATTGTGGTTATATGTTGTTTTTTTTGTTCATCTGCCTAAGACATGATAAAATTTATTAAAACAAAGGAAATGTCTCTTTTTGTCACTTGTTGACCAAAGAGCTAGTGAGAGAAACCCCACACAACTTCTCTAAAAAGAACTTGTTCCAGACTACCAAATATAATTGAATGGTCAGCCTGCTGAAATCTCAGAGTGAAAGAAATCAGACTTCAGCCTTGTACCAGTTTACTGAACATGGCTAAACATATGACCCGTAGAGGTGTAGAAAATCTTCAGTTTTAATTTAGTGATTTTTTTTTTTTTTTTTTTTGAACCTTTGATATAAAGTTGTTTGCTACACAGCTTTTGCTTACTTTGTTCCTTGTGAGGTCATCTTGCCAAAGCTGCTGGATCAGTGACATTGGGTATATGACTCAGCCTTCATCTGCAAACACAATGTATGTGGAACAGGGTAGGATTGAGGGTCAGGACAACCAACTCCAAGGCTGGCCATAGGGATCGACCACAGACTTGCCCAGTGACTGTGGGAGTGTGTGACATCATAGAATGACATTGTCAACTTTTATTCCAACCATTGTAACAAGATCAAATTGGAAATAATTAGAGGATTCTATTTAAGAGCACTAAGAAACTGCAGCGCCAATACCTAGAAAACACTTTAAAAAATATCCTTATTATTTCATCCACAATGCTAAGAAAAAAGCATAAAGAATATATGACCGCAAAAAAGATAACATTAACAACAATAAATTAGATAAAAAGATACATAATGCTGACCACTAACTATAACATCCACTACCTTAAATAATCTATCCAATCTAAAACAACCTCAACATAATTGCAACATCCAAAACTATTATGGATATAATCAGAGCCCAAAATACCCCTAAAAATAATAATTCTGAAGCAGATATATATAGAGTAAATTGCCAGAACTGTTCTTCACAATACATTAGAGAAACTTGCAGAAATTAAAAAATAAAAAACATATTTATGAACACAAAAAGGACCTTACACACAATTTATCAAATGCATTAATTATACATAGAAATAAATTCAATCACAACTTTGTTCTAAACAATGCCACACTTATTAAAAGAGAAAGTAACTTACTTAGAAGGAAAATTCTTGTGAGTCTTATCAAAATATAAATCTGCCTCAGATTTTTTTTTCCAATATCTTCATTCTTGAAAGAACTATTACTTTCCCAAGCCAAGATACAGGACTACAAAAAGGTTAAAAAATTTAAAGAAAATGGTTAAATCCATAACCTCATGTTATTCAAAATATATAACACATAAATTAATCCCAAACTAAACTAATTTAAATACTAATTTGCATTAAAAAAAAAAAAAAAAATCCAAAACATCACTTACTTTTGCTTATTAGACATTGAATTGTGCCAATTTGTATCCTCAATAGTTTCCCTGACTTTTCAGTTAACCTGATGAATATTCATGTGTGTTCCTAAACTTTAAATTTTTGAAAAACCAATGATTTGCTCTTGTATATAAATATGTGTTACAAAATAAAATCCTTACATTTGCCTTGAGAAAGTCCTTCAGAGGACAAAACATATGGGCTAAGATAAGTCTTGTGTGTGTGTGTACACTTCAATTGATAAATATTTCTGAATAAAGAAACAACAGGATTATTCTTACAGTTCCACATTCAAGAGCCATATTTTGTCCAATGATGATGGCAATAATTATTTCAAGAATAACTAAGCCTGATACCATAAAACAAAAGAAGGAAATAATCTATATTATAAAGATTTGATTTCTTTTTGCGGACATGTTATTGTAACAAAGTAAAAAAGCACATCAGAGCAAGATTTTTTTTTGTTAGATTTTCATTTCTAAGATAATAAATAGTTTTCCAGTTTAATTTGCCATTTAATAATAGTGTAGGGATTGCATTTTCATTCACTCTGATGATTTGATTTTTGTATGTTTGTTATAAAAGCTGAAAAGAAAAATCATATCAAGATTGAAAGAGGAAGAAATGAAAACATTAAAGCATTACTAAATGCTGCAGAACTTTATTTCATAAGTATGTAAAATTCACATTTTCACCCTCTCCTCTTTTGTTACAAGCATTTCCACACTGTATTACAAAAAATAACTTTCATAAATTGTATGCATGTAGGTTTAAAAATCATTTAATACTTTGCTAATTAGGAAGGTTAACTTTAAATTTTCAATTGTAGATGTCATCATTGTTTTCTATGTGCAATATCACTTCAGAATGTGGATGATCATTATTTTCTAGAAATTACCTTCTTTTGTAGTTCTTAGTAAAGTTTATCTTTTCATGCCCTCTCCCAATCTCTATTCTGCTATTCATTTATACAAGCTTGTGAGGAAAGTTATTCATTGCTTCCCTCTGCCAATTCAGCATTCAATATGACCTGTAAGTGTCAGATTAGCCAAGCTCTCTTTCCTTATTATGTGTCCTAGAAATTTCAATTATCTCTTTCTGATTCTAAGTATAAACATAACATTTTTGTTTCCATTTTCCTTAAAATTTCCTCATTACTCACATGTTCAGTTCATAAGATCTTCAGCATTCTTCTGTAGAACCGCATTTCTGTTGCCTCAAGTCTCTTCTTCATCTATGAGGAGATTATTGAACATTCACTGCCATATAGGAGGACTGATATTACATAAACAGTTTAATACTCTTATTGCTTCTAATAAAATTTTTCTGTTTCTTAACAAAAATACTTTTCGAAGTCATCTTTTACTATTGCAATTAGCCATTGGATTTCAGTGTCACATTTTCCATCCTCTGTATAAACACTTCCCAGATATATAAATATTTTGCACTTGCTTGATTTTAAGATCTCCAATACATAGTTCCCATTTTGGGTTATTCCTCCTGCTGATAATCATACATTATATCTTCTTACAATTGATGTTTAATCCTTTTTTCTTGCTTTTCTATACTATCTTCTGTACAAGTTCTTGCTGTTTCCTTTCTGTGTATAGTGTCATCTGCATAACTTATATTGTTAACATTGTGTCCACTAATATTAAATCCTGGTAAAACTTGCAGTTCTCTTAGAATTGCTTTGCTAAAAAGTCCAGTCAGAAAACACATCCTTATCACATGCTCTTTGTATTTTTATGTATTTAATGGTTCATTTTCTATCCGTATACAGGCAGTTTTCTTCTAGTATAA